GCAGCAAAACAGCAGGGAATCAAAACAAGAAAGTAAAAAACCCCCCACTAAAAATAAGAAGAAAACATAAACAAACAAGTAGCAACAAAATGCAACATCAGCAACAACAGCAACAACAACTCGAACAATAACAACAACAACAACAGCAACAACAACTCGAACAACAACAACAGCAACAACAGCAACAACAACAACAACAACTCGAACAGCAACAACAACAACAACAACAACAACAACTCGAACAACAACAACAACAGCAACAACAACAACAACTCGAACAGCAACAACAACAACAACAATATCGGCAACACAGAACAAAAAAGCAAGAAAAAACATCACCATTAATACTCTGTAAAACACCGTGTACTGAAATCATTGTAACCGGTATCCAAAATAGTCATTTACAATACTGTACAGTTGTCAGCTGACTGATTGCCTTCATTTGGCATTTAAATTCTGAAACTTTTTTCCTTCGCATAGATCGGTACAAGGTGCCTGGTTATGATATGTGCTGGTATTTTCTTTTTGTGAGTGTGTTTGTTTGTTTCTTTTGTAATTTATTGTTGTATTATTTTTTCCTGTTTAAGTCCAAAGCCTCACCCCCCCCCCCCCTCCCCTCACTCCCAAAACCAGCAGCCAAAAACAAACCTCAAAACAATAACAACAACAACAACATCACCGACAAGAAAAAGAAACAAACCAAATAATGAACAGGCTAAACCCAAAACCCAAATGAACCAACGATGAAAGTGAGGGGTGCTGACAGAATGAGTTACTTCTGGCAATTCACAAATGGAGATATTGGACAAAAATCGACACTAGGTTCAAATTTGTAGAATTTCAATTGATGCGATATTCTTTAAGTAAAACTTGTTTTTTATTATGTTCATACTTCTAAACTGTAAAAAACTCCACCTATTTAAGCATGATGTATCTATTTCAATAAGGCTTGAATCCGTGAAGCAACTCATTTTGTCAGCACTCTTCATGGTAGGAAAGCAGCCCAGAGCAGGTTTCGAACTCTCACCATTGGCCTGTGCCTGTAAAATGCTCTCCGCCACCCCCCACACCATAGGTATGACAAAAATGGCGACTTCGTCTTCTATAGTGGGCACCCACTGGAACAAGATGACGAGGAGGACCAAGTGGATGGAAAGGGCCAGGAGGATGAGCACAAAGCGGCCCGTAACTCTTGCCACCTGAGTGAAGATGATCAAGAACACCGGAGTTGTCGCCCCGTATGCAGCCATGACGTAGCCCACCATGTGGATGCCGATAGGGCAGGCGATGTAAGACTGTGGGGAGAAAAGACAGACCAGTGTCATTACTTGAATACAATCAAATAAGATAATAGCCATTTTATCATTAACTACGCTTGTTTAAACAAAGTAAGAAGAGAAAAGTGAGACGGAGGATGATGGTTTTTAACGTTAGCATAAGCTAGTCAAGAACAAGTGAGACAGAACGCATATACTATTATGACAAGACAGACGAGATAGGACGAGACAGGACCAGAAACTCCGAGGCAAGACGAGATGACAGGACGAGACATGAAGAGAAGAGAAGAATCAAAATAACTTGTAATGAGACATCATGATGTGCAATGAACCGAGACATAAACAAAATGTGTAGGTCAAGACAACAAAGAGTATTATTATATTGGATAAAAGTTTTTAGTCTAAGCAGGAAAACGCTTAAGTAATTATTATTTTCAAACGTAAGATTACACTGTATCCCCAGAGCTATGTAATGGTATTTTCACGATGACCTAACTTGTGTTCATCAAACTTGAAGAACAAGCTAGGCAATAACGACCATGCTATCCCATAACCAACCAGTGTCGGATATGATACGAAAAAGATCGTCCTGAATAAGGCCACGAAGGGGTAAAATAAAACAATAAAAATAGGAGACAAAAACACCCCTCCCTCTTTTCAACCCCCCTCCCCCCCCCTTTTAAATATGTCTATCAATTAAACTTTACCCCCTTGTCATCGACACCCGACCCCATCTGGAGCGAAAAAAAGATGATTAGTATGGCTACCGAAAAAAGGACACTGAGCATAAAAAGCAGCTAAAATCGATAAGCATATTTATATTTTTCTTCTATCTCACCCTGGTAAAGGCGCCCAGCAGAATGGCGTGCTCCATGGAGGTGAACATGATGAAGGGCACGAGCAGGGTCATGTTGGTGGAGATGAGTACGTTGAAGCAAGAGGTGGCCGAGCTGGTGGCCTTCACCTTCTGGCTCCAGTCGCTGGTGGGTAGCGGTTTGAGCAGGAACACCACGAGGAACAGGCCGAGCAGCGCGCACGCCAGGAAGAAACCCAGGGTGATGTCAACCACCCAGTCCTCGGGGTCTTCGATCTAGAACAAAAGAAAACCATAGAAGAACATGAAAATATTGATAATAATAATGATAAATAAAGATAAAGAGCATTGATCAAACTTGCTTTGAAACAACGCAAATCCCCCCACCCCTTCTCCCTCCCTCCTCCCT